GAAACCCGAAGATCAGTTGCAGTTGCGGTGCGGTTATCCCACAGAGTAGCTAGCCTGGGGGCGTCATGATTGATCAGAAGCGTCTGATTTATCAGGAGCAGCTGAGTTATTCCAACTCACCAGAAAAGCTTTAGTAGAGGACAGAGATGAACGACGATTAAGTTGAAGAAATAAGAAACCAATGCAGTGCAATCCAGTTCGAGGGGGTGTTTGTTGTGGCCCCCAAAGTCACTTGTGATGGTGCTACGGTTAAACTGGATGGCACGGTCAGAGTGGAATAAACCAGACGGTCAGGACTATAAACCACCATTGTTCGCGAGATGCAGTGGTTAATTAACGTGACCGCCTTAGTAGTCCACTGCATCCTGTGAACAGAAGTGAACTCGAATGGCTCAATGCTAGCAATCATGATGTAGCGTGAAAAATAACAGGAAGTTGCGTGCGAGCCATCAGTCGCTGTCTCTTAACTGTTCGCATGGAAAACGATTGGTCTATTGATCGCTCAGTCGTCTTCATTGGCGCACCAGGCTACACCCGAGCAGTAAAATGCGCCAGAGGTAATCCTAAATTAAGAGCCCACGAGCAGCGTGCATACCGGTTGCTCTAGCAGCAGCCTAGTGTGAAGTAGAATCACTCGTCAGTGGTTTACGGTGGTATAAGAGTGCGAACGGGAATGATATGTTGGGATTGGATGCAAGCTGTGTGTAAAAGTCAGTGAATGGCAGAACGCACAACACTGTAAGCTAGGGCTTGTGTATAACAGTGGTAAGTAGCGCGTTTTCATTGCACGAGTAGGCTGACATGCCGGCTGTTGAAGTGATCAGAGAACAGACATCCGAGCCGATCGATGAGTCTATTTACGTAAGCGATATGAACACCACCGGTGGTAAATCCATCGGATAAGGAAACGCGCGCACCCATGAGTTAGAAAAGCTTTAATCTACAGAGACAGTGGGATATCACCAAGCACTGAGGCTAACAGATTGAACTTTATTGGAGAGTAGCACGGGGAGGATGTGGCCATGATCGCCTAGCGCTTTTACAAAAGTGTAGCTGCGATGGACATTTTAAAAAAATGTAAAGCTTGCCGACAGATAATAAGGCATCATAACGGAGCGTTGCTTAATTTGTCCGGCTACGCTGTCTTCATCAAATCTCTGAATAAGTGGATCGATACGCCACCCGTTCTAGCTCTTACCGAACAGCCACTGGAAGTGATGAATCGGTTCACCTACGTTGGGGTTGCCCCTGACGTACGGATAACCTGCCTGAATCAGTTGTACTGACCCTCACCAGTTCAATCCGTAACGAAATGAGAACGGCAAGACCATTCGGACCGAGGAATTTCTATTGTACGAGAGCATGGAGCAACAAATAGGTTGAAGGCAACTGTTAAACATAACAATATTGGAGGTTCTAAGTAAGACAATGAGAAAACTGGTGTTGCGAGATGGAACCATTTCGTGTTATGTGCTCACTCGCAAACTAACCACATAAATATGAACCACGTGACAGCAAAATCGAAGGTTTGCAACTGGTCACAAAGGGAAATTACATAGACGCAAGAATAACAGATCGACGAATTTGACCTTAGGATCATGATTCCTAACGAAGCTTTAAGGAGACTGTTAATTGTTTCTGTACACAAAAGATAGGGCGATGCCGGTTAAGTGGCACAGCTTCAGTGAACATCAAAACTTTGGGGTTTTCATTTCGATAGATAACTGTAAATGTTGACCCATGGTCAACCTGATGGCCTATTTCGATTAGCTGTCTGACGATAGATGATGTCGGCAGCTTAGATACATTTTTGTTCGGCTGCTTGCTGTGTCGATGAGTTAGCAATCCGTTTTGGGATATGCGCTTACCCAAGGATCGACCTCTTCTGCCAATGTAACTACTTCCGCAGTTACAACGGAATTGAGAAATACAATGGGTTGTGGTGGAGATCGGTTGAGTAGGCTTCACTGAAGGCAGATGTTTGCATACAGAGATTCGCCGGACATTCAATGCCGTCAAATTGTGCCCCATTTGGGTGACCAGGAAGTTGCCTATGCCTCCAGTGAAGTCTACTCAACCGGTCTCCGCTACAACCCATTGTATTTACCAATTCCTGTAACTGCGGAAGCAGTTACAGTAGCAGAACAGATCGATCCTTGGGTAAGCGCATTGGAGAGCATATCCCAAAACGGACTGTTAAGCTAGCGACGCAACAAGCAGCCGAACAAAAAAGGTATCTAAGCTGCCGACATCATCTATCGTCAGACAGCTAATCGAAATAGGCCATCAGGTTGACCATAGGTCAACATTTACAGTTATCTATCGAAATGAAAAGCCCAAAGTTTTGATGTTCACTGAAGCTATGCCACTTAACCGGCATCGCCCTATCTTTTGTGTACAGAAACAATTAACAGTCTCCTTAAAGCTTCGTTAGGAATCATGATCCTAAGGTCAAGTTCGTCGATCTGTTATTCTTGCGTCTACGCAATTTCCCTTTGTGACCAGTTGCAAACCTTCGATTTTGCTGTCACGTGGTTCATATTTATGTGGTTAGTTTGTGAGTGAGCGGATAAGACGAAATGGTTCCACCTCGCAATACCGGTCCACTCGTTATCTTATTGAGAATGATATAGCGAACTCAGTGCTTTAAATATTGGAGAAGTTAATTAATATTAAGGAACATAACTCAAACGGTTCAAGGTCCAACTTGCCGCTGATCCCACATAGATTCCCGTTTGATCTCCAATTGTAGATCGATGCAATCTTGCGTCACGGTTCTCGGATTGTACGCTAACTCTCTGTAACAACCTACCTTGGTATCTGTGTCGCCTCTGGAGGTCACATCACTGAAGAGGTCACTTCGCGTATCAACGGGGCCCGTGTGCCTTTCCAGAGGCTCAACCATTTATGGAGGCAGCGGGATATCAGCTTGCCGGTGAAAGGTAGGGTGTATAATGCTGCGATAAGGCCGATATTAATCTACAGATCAGAGACCTGGTCGGTTCGCAGTGACAAGAAACGCTTGACCGTTTTCGACCACCGGTGCTTACGGAGTATTGCTCACGTATACTGGGACTACCGGGTGAGTAATGTTGAGGTCCGCCAGTTGGTTTTAAACAAGAAACCTTCTGGTGGCCCAATCGAGTGGTTATTTAAGCTTAACCGCATACGTTGGCCACATAAAATCCTCGGTAGGCCCGTTGACTGGCTTCCTCGGCGTGCATTATACGCAGTGGCTGCACCAAGTTGGGCGAAACCACGGTGGCCAATCCTTGACATGGATTTAAGGCATGAAGAAACGGACGGAAAGTTAGTCAGGTTGGTGCGTATCGACTTCGTGAATGGGGACCCTGGGGTTGAAGACTCTGTCAGACATGCGCATTTGCACAGTCAGTGACGCTCTTACATCCAGTTGGTAATTTTCATTTTATACTGATTAGTGTAAAGCACTCCCTTGTTGACCCATTTTTTACATTCTATTCGCATCTAATCTTATTTGCTTGCCGTTGTTAGTTTAGCGGCGGGAGCCGTGGCAACTGAATCCACCGCACTTCGGTGCCAGAATAATAGTTGTTTAAATGAACTGAGGTGAACTGAACATCTTGAATGAGGGAGAAGAAATCCAATACATGCGTGGTTAAAGGCATTCGCTGATAGGGTTCAGCTGATTGGCTGATGGTCACCTTCGCCCTAATGCCTTATATACCCAAATCTTCCATTTCAACGGCACAAATCTTTTCCGTTCACGTCAACTATTTTGAGTTGTCTTCTAGATTGACTTCCTGTTGACATTGCATTACTATTATCATGGGGAACTGAAATTCACCGACTCTGATCTCTACAATTTGGCTCACAGTGGTTGTTGAGCATAACTAAAGTATAGTATGGCCATGATCTTCACAACCTAGGCAACACCCACTGGTTAAAGTGCCAAAGGCCATAGCATACGTGTAAAAATCATCAGACTGACCGTCTTGTTGGAAGCGTTGAAGAAAGTAGCCTTGAAGTACTCGCTTTAGTCTACCGCTGCCAGAACTGAAGTATAACAGGCAAGAAGAGTAGATTCACCTATAGTCGCCGGTGGAAGACGGAGAAAGCCCAACGGGCTGTCATAGCTGGGTACCATTAACCGTCGAACAGTATATCCCTGGGTATCGTAGTGCAGAATAAGCAGTGGTGTGGTTAGACCAGAAGTGAACTTGCTCGGAACCTACACCTCGTGAACACAGTCAAGATGGATAGCCATCCGTTTGAAGCAACATACACTGTGGAAGACAGGATTCTTCAGTTTGTCGTTGCAGAAGTGGCTAAATGCACGAATGCGGCGAAAGAAACCCACGAAGGGTGCATGATGGCTCCCGCTGCGCAGGCTGATCGCTCTCTAATGATCAAATTTTGAGCAGTAAAACACATAGGTAGTATCTCTATATAAAGCCATCAAAATATAGGCATTCCAATCAGTTAGATGTGTGGGCGGAGTAAGCTGACACGATCTGATGCCGTGTCGCATGTGGAAATTGAAAGGAACAGATGGAACACATGAACCAGTCGAGGAAGTCATGTAAGCATCTCCCAGAATGAAGCGACTATGTCAAAGTCAGAGGCAAATTAATCGCACATCTATCGGTATGCCAAAGTGAGACCAAAGTACGAGATGATTGTTACATTGGGCATGTATAGACAAGGAAACGCTCTCTGTGCGTACAAACCGCTTTCGGTCTGTGTAGGGCTGAGTTGCCTTTCTCAACACTGGACACCAAAGTGACAGTGAAGAGAAAGAAACACGGGAAATGAAATGTCGACGCACTATGGCAGTGGTGAACGACAGCTACAGTAGAGTTGAGTCATGGACCAAGCACTGCATTACGCGCATGAAGAAGGATGCTCCTTACAGATAAGGCAGCTGCCGAGTCAATGTGTGATAGCAGGAAGGTCTGGAGCTCATGTAATTGTCAAACGGATGCTGCATCAGACAAGGTAATTACAAAATTATGACTCACTTCACAGCCAGCTCAAAATCGCGCCACACGTCGACCAACTCCAGACCCCGCCGATAAAACACTGAGTGATCTAAAGCTGGTGGAGAACGACCTGTGGTAGGCACCAGGTTTCCGTCGACTGCGGAGGGGTTGGTAGCCGCATCCGATTTCGAAGGCAGTTGACTGTCAGGCGCTGGGCGGCACAAACAAAAATAACGAGAGTATATAGATGGGAAAAATAATAACACAACCGAATTGCGACCAGCTAGTTGCTTTTAGAATAGTGAAACAAATAAATAGTAAGCCAGCAGTGAAATGGGCAACTGAGTTGCATACATTAAACTTGAATCGATGACCGCATTCCGCCGCTTATTTGTGGATCATGTTACACAATGAAGATCTATTACCGTGATTCGTCATCCGGATCACGAGAACGTTTGCCAACCTAAATCAGTTGCATGACTCTATTTCCAATAGGTACAGGTACCAAGAAACGATGTAAACTAGATAGACAAAGACAGAACTAGGGCGAGTCCCTTTTGTTCCGCGTATCGCGTTATAGTATGAGGAATACAGACATTTATCAGCGACTGCTGATCCAAAAATACTGATGGCTTGTGCGAAAATTACTCAGTCCACTAAACATGGCACAAAAGTATCGTGGCAAAATTAATGCGGCGAGCTAGCTCCGACGTAGGGAGAAATGCGGTGCGTCCTAGTGTTAGCATTCGTAAAGCAGATCGTTTCGGTTCACGCTCCTCTGGTCGGTTGACCTCTGACCTCACACACACGCCACCAATTGGTGGCGTGTGTGTGAGGTCAGAGGTCAACCGACCAGAGGAGCGTGAACCGAAACGATCTGCTTTACGAATGCTAACACTAGGACGCACCGCATTTCTCCCTACGTCGGAGCTAGCTCGCCGCATTAATTTTGCCACGATACTTTTGTGCCATGTTTAGTGGACTGAGTAATTTTCGCACAAGCCATCAGTTTTTTTGGATCAGCAGTCGCTGATAAATGTCTGTAGTCCTCATACTATAACGCGATACGCGGAACAAAAGGGACTCGCCCTTGTTCTGTCTTTGTCTATCTAGTTTACATCGTTTCTTGGTACCTGTACCTATTGGAAATAGAGTCATGCAACTGATTTAGGTTGGCAAACGTTCTCGTGATCCAGATGACGAATCACGGTAATAAATCTACATTGTGTAACATGATCCACAAATAAGCGGCGGAATGCGGTCATCGATTCAAGTTTAATGTATGCCACTCAGTTGCCCATTTCACTCCTGGCTTACTATTTATTTATTTCACTCCTCCAAAGGCAACTAGCTGGCCGCAATTCAGTTGTGTTATTATTTTCCCCGTCTATATACTCTCGTTATCTTTGTTTGTACCGCCCAGCGCCTGACAGTCAACTGCCTTCGAAATCGGATGCCGCTACCAACCCCTCCGCAGTCGACGGAAACCTGGTGCCTACCACAGGTCGTTCTCCGCCAGCTTTAGATCACTCAGTGTTTTATCGGCGGGGTCTGGAGTTGGTCGACGTGTGGCGCGATTTTGAGCTGGCTGTGAAGTGAGTCATAACTATGTAATTACCTTATCTGATGCAGCATCCGTTTGACAATTACATGAGCTCCAGACCTTCCTGCTATCACACATTGACTCGGCAACTGCCTTATCTGTAATGCACATCCTTCTTCCTGCGCGTAATGAAATGTTTGGTCCATTACTCAACTCTACTGTAACTGTGGTTCACCATTGGCATAGTGCGTCGACATTTCGTTTCCCGTGTTCTCTTCACTGTCTCTTTGGTGTCCAGTGTTGAGAAAAGGCAACTCAGCCGTACACAGACCGAAAGCGGCTTGTATGCACAGCGAACGTTTACTTGTCTATCCATGCCCAATGTGTCAGTCATCTCGCACTTTGGTCTCACCTTGGCATACCGATAGATGTGCGATTAATTTGCCTCTGACTTTGACAAAGTCGCTTCATTCTGGGAGATGCTTGCATGACTTCCTCGATTGGTTCACGTGTTCCATCTGTTCCTTTCAATTTCCACATGCAACACGGCATCAGATCGTGTCAGCTTACTCCGCCCACACATCTAACTGATTGGAATGCCTATATTTTGATGGCTTTGTATAGAGATAGTACCTATGCGTTTTACTGCTCAAAGTTTGGTCATTAGAGAGCCGTCAGCCTGCGCAGCAAAAGTCATCATGCACCCTTCGTGGGTTTCTTTCGCCGCATGCGTGCATTTAGCCATTTCTGCAATGACAAACTGAAGGATCCTGTCTTCCACAATGTATGTTACTTCAAACGGATGGCTATCCATCTTGACTGTGTTCACGAGGTGTAGGTTCCGAGCAAGTTCACTTCTGGTCTAACCATACCACTGCTTATTCTGCACTACGATACCCAGGGATATACTATTCGATGGTTAATGGTACCCAGCTATGACAGCCCGTTGGGCTTTTTCCGTCTTCGACCGGCGACTATAGGTGAATCTACTCTTCTTGCCTGTTATACGTCAGTTCTGGCAGCGGTAGACTAAAGCGAGTACTTCAGGGCTGCTTTCTTCAACGCTTCCACCAAGACGGTCAGTCTGATGATTTTTACACGTATGCTATGGCCTTTGGCACTTTAACTAGTGGATATTGGCTAGGTTGTGAAGATCATGGCCATACTATACTTTAGTTATGCTCAACAACCACTGTGAGCCAAATTGTAGAGATCAGAGTCGGTGAATTTCAGTTCCCCATGATAATAGTAATGCAATGTCAACAGGAAGTCAATCTAGAAGACAACTCAAAATAGTTGACGTGAACGGAAAAGATTTGTGCCGTTGAAATGGAAGATTTGGGTATATAAGGCATTAGGGCGAAGGTGACCATCAGCCAATCAGCTGAACCCTATCAGCGAATGCCTTTAACCACGCATGTATTGGATTTCTTCTCCCTCATTCAAGATGTTCAGTTCACCTCAGTTCATTTAAACAACTATTATTCTGGCACCGAAGTGCGGTGGATTCAGTTGCCACGGCTCCCGCCGCTAAACTAACAACGGCAAGCAAATAAGATTAGATGCGAATAGAATGTAAAAAATGGGTCAACAAGGGAGTGCTTTAGACTAATCAGTATAAAATGAAAATTAACAACTGGATGCAAAAGCGTCACTGACTGTGCGACTGCGCATGTCTGACAGAGTCTTCAACCCCTTGTGTGGACCACCATCCCAAGATCCCCATCCACGAAGTCGATACGCACCAGGCTGACTAACTTTCCGTCAGTTTTTTCATGCCTTAAATCCATGTCAAGAATTGGCCACCGTGGTTTCGCCCAACTTGGTGCAGCCACTGCGTATAATGCATGCCAAGGAAGCCAGTCAATGGGCCTACGGAGGACCTTATCTGGCCAACATATGCGGTTAAGCTTAAATAACCACTCGATTGGGCCACCAGAAGGTTTTTTGCTTAAAACCAACCGGCAGACCTCAACATTACTCACCCGGTAGTCCCAGTATACGTGAGCAATACCCCACAAGCACCGGTGGTCGAAAACGGTCAAGCGTTTCTTGTCACTGCGAACCGACCAGGTCTCTGATCTATAGATTAATATCGGCCTTATCGCAGCGTTATACACCCTACCTTTCACTGGCAAGCTGATATCCCGCTGTCTCCATAAATGGAAAGCCACACGGGCCCTGTTGATACGCGAAGTGACCTCTTCAGTGATGTGACCTCCAGAGGAGACACAGATACCAAGGTATGTTGTTACGGAGAGCCAGCGTACAATCCGAGAACCGTGACGCAAGATTGCATCGATCTACAATTGGAGATCAAACGGGAATCTATGTGGGATCAGCGGCAAGTTGGACCTTGAACTTAAACCGTTTGAGTTATGTTCGTTAATATTAATTATCATCTCCAATATTTAAAGCACTGAGTTCCCTGTATCCTTCTCAATAAGACAACGAGAGGACCGGTATTGCGAGGTGGAACCATTTCGTCTTATCCGCTCACTCACAAACTAACCACATAAATATGAATCACGTGACAGCAAAATCGAAGGTTTGAAACTGGTCACAAAGGGAAATTGCGTAGACGCAAGAATAACAGATCGACGAACTTGACCTTAGGATCATGATTCCTAACGAAGCTTTAAGGAGACTGTTAATTGTTTCTGTACACAAAAGATAGGGCGATGCCGGTTAAGTGGCATAGCTTCAGTGAACATCAAAACTTTGGGCTTTTCATTTCGATAGATAACTGTAAATGTTGACCTATGGTCAACCTGATGGCCTATTTCGATTAGCTGTCTGACGATAGATGATGTCGGCAGCTTAGATACCTTTTTTGTTCAGCTGCTTGTGGTGTCGCTAGCTTAACAGTCCGTTTTGATATATGATCTCCAATGCGCTTATCCGAGGATCGATCTGTTCTGCTACTGTAACTGCTTCCGCAGTTACAGGAATTGGTAAATACAGTGGGTTGTAGCGGAGATCGGTTGAGTAGACTTCACTGGAGGCATAGGCAACTTCCTGGTCACCCAAATGGGGCACAATTTGACGGCATTGAATGTCCGGCGAATCGCTGTATGCAAACATCTGCCTCCAGTGAAATCTACTCAACCGATGTCCACCACAACCCATTGTATTTTTCAATTCCCTTGTAACTACGGAAGTAGTTACATTTGCAGAAGAGATCGATCCTTGAATAAGCGCATATCCCAAAACAGATTGCTAAGCTACCGACACAGCAAGCAGCCGAACAAAAATGTATCTAAGCTGCCGGCATCATCTATCGTCAGACAGCTAATCGAAAAAAGCTATCAGGTTGATCCTGGGTCAACATTTATAGTTTTCTATCGAAGTGAAAACCCCAAAGTTTTGAAGTTCACCGAAGCTGTGGCACTTAACCGGCATCGCCCTATCCTTTGTGTACAGAAACAAGTAACAGTCTCCTTAAAGCTTCCTTAGGAATCATGATCCTAAGGTCAAGTTCGTCGATCTGTTATCCTTGCGTCTACGTAATTTCCCGTTGTGACCAGTTTCAAACCTTCGATTTTTGTGTCACGTGATTCATATTTATGTTGTTATTTTGCGAGTGAGCAGATAACACGAAATGGTTCCACCTCGAAGCACCAATCTTCTCATTATCTCACTTAGAACCTCCAATATTGTTATGTTTAACAGTTGCCTTCAACCTATTTGTTGCTCCATGCTCTCGTACAATAGAAATTCCTCGGTCCGAATGGTCTTGCCGTTCTCATTTCGTTACGGATTGAACTGGTGAGGGTCAGTACAACTGATTCAGGCAGGTTATCCGTACGTCAGGGGCAACCCCAACGTAGGTGAACCGATTCATCACTTCCAGTGGCTGTTCGGTAAGAGCTAGAACGGGTGGCGTATCGATCCACTTATTCAGAGATTTGATGAAGACAGCGTAGCCGGACAAATTAAGCAACGCTCCGTTATGATGCCTTATTATCTGTCGGCAAGCTTTACATTTTTTTAAAATGTCCATCGCAGCTACACTTTTGTAAAAGCGCTAGGCGATCATGGCCACATCCTCCCCGTGCTACTCTCCAATAAAGTTCAATCTGTTAGCCTCAGTGCTTGGTGATATCCCACTGTCTCTGTAGATTAAAGCTTTTCTAACTCATGGGTGCGCGCGTTTCCTTATCCGATGGATTTACCACCGGTGGTGTTCATATCGCTTACGTAAATAGACTCATCGATCGGCTCGGATGTCTGTTCTCTGATCACTTCAACAGCCGGCATGTCAGCCTACTCGTGCAATGAAAACGCGCTACTTACCACTGTTATACACAAGCCCTAGCTTACAGTGTTGTGCGTTCTGCCATTCACTGACTTTTACACACAGCTTGCATCCAATCCCAACATATCATTCCCGTTCGCACTCTTATACCACCGTAAACCACTGACGAGTGATTCTACTTCACACTAGGCTGCTGCTAGAGCAACCGGTATGCACGCTGCTCGTGGGCTCTTAATTTAGGATTACCTCTGGCGCATTTTACTGCTCGGGTGTAGCCTGGTGCGCCAATGAAGACGACTGAGCGATCAATAGACCAATCGTTTTCCATGCGAACAGTTAAGAGACAGCGACTGATGGCTCGCACGCAACTTCCTGTTATTTTTCACGCTACATCATGATTGCTAGCATTGAGCCATTCGAGTTCACTTCTGTTCACAGGATGCAGTGGACTACTAAGGCGGTCACGTTAATTAACCACTGCATCTCGCGAACAATGGTGGTTTATAGTCCTGACCGTCTGGTTTATTCCACTCTGACCGTGCCATCCAGTTTAACCGTAGCACCATCACAAGTGACTTTGGGGGCCACAACAAACACCCCCTCGAACTGGATTGCACTGCATTGGTTTCTTATTTCTTCAACTTAATCGTCGTTCATCTCTGTCCTCTACTAAAGCTTTTCTGGTGAGTTGGAATAACTCAGCTGCTCCTGATAAATCAGACGCTTCTGATCAATCATGACGCCCCCAGGCTAGCTACTCTGTGGGATAACCGCACCGCAACTGCAACTGATCTTCGGGTTTCCTCCCATTAGTCTGGCTTCTCGTGCTGATAAGGTGTGCTTCGCCAGTACCTTCTTCAGGACATTTATAACGATCTTCCCCAATATTTTACTCGTTCATCCGGTTGAATATTTGACACCGACTATGCAGTGCTTCGTGATGCTTATGTTTTTCGTCACACGAGCTCATCCGGCTGGAAAGTATTACGGTACCCTCCCTAGACAAAACATGTGTTTGGCTGCAACCGAAATCTATTGTTAGCAATACAACCTTATCTGTGGATAGGGCACATTACAACCCGATGACTATCTTTTCTTGGTTTTAATTACTCGCTTTTCTTCATGTGCGTGACGCCATAGCATTTATCAGTATCAAGCGTATTGATCGTGCAGCTCGATCTGCGGGATCAGTCAATGTGCGTTAGAACAACTCGCACATTTGCGGATGTTTGAGCAGAAATCATTCGATTAGAAACGGTCCATTCTTCTTTAAGCACCACTATTTGAGCCTTGCGACTAAGCGCGTCGCTGTGGCCCGCGCATATTGACAGCCTGCATCCTAACCAACGTATTCTGGGTAACTACATAACTGCCGTCGATCTAGAACTGATGTTACCGCTGGACAACAGAGGACCTACAACAAGTCGGAATAGTGGTAGCTCGATTTGAGTGCTCAGATGATGGCTTATTCACCGTGCTGCGCTATTACCTTGCAAACATCTCCTCATCAGCCGTGGTGTCATTTTTAGTGTGTAGTAGTAGTTGTTGTAGTTTAGTTGTCGTGGTACCTTGGATGGCAGGCAAAGAGCTTCGAGCAACTCCGGAATCGATCCATCCTCGTGTTGTTGTTGTTGTCGTTGGTGGTTCTTCTTCTTGTTTGAAAAGCGTAGTGAGAAGACAGACTGGCATCCGCACGCGTTTCATGGTGTCTCAGTGCCTTTAACCACAACTCGCAATAATATGTACCCAGAGAATTGTGCGACCAAACGTGGTTGGCTGTATCCAGTTCCGGATTTGCCTGTCACTCTCGTCTCCACTGATAGTCACAGGACGCCTGTGCCTACAAAGGGACCATGGGTGACTTGCGCTGTATCACCCACAGCTCTATCCACTCACACAATATCCTGTGTAAATCCGAAGGAATATGACCGGGAGGCATGTGGATGGGAGTCACGCTTCATCAACGAAACCGGCCCACACTCCAACAACTTGTATTCATGCCTAATTGGGAAATCACGCGTACCAGACGTACACAAGGCGGTGGCTGGACCGTAGTCCGCTCCACACTGAGTGCATGGAACCACTATTTGAGCCTAGCAGGTTCTTGAGGACCGTGCACCTCGTCACTCCTAGCAACAATCCACAGTCTCCTGCATACGAGGAGACCAACACACAATAACCGAGACGAAGTTATCAATCCTATCCCCAGGACTGTCTAATGCTGACCGATAATTGTTTAGGTACGCAATGCAGCGGCTTATTCCGATTAATTGCAATCGCCTCTGCGAAACGGAGAAGGCGTGAATTGGTGTGCTGTAATAGGATTGTGAACGCCGAAGTGACCTCGACTCGGTGACCTGTGGCCAATAATTGTCGACCGATCGAATTGGCCGGTGGTTTACGCAGACAAGCAGCCTGACTCTGGCCAGTTTCCTTCGCGGTCGAACGTTGAACCCAATAGGTACATGCTCCTTCATACGGGAACCCAATGTTCTATCGGCCCTGCCTATGTAACTGGCGTCGCAGTCACATATGAATTGGTACATACAATGCAACTTGGCCCCGATAGGCTAAACCTCCTTGACAGAAGGAAGTGGCAGCTTTTGGGTTTTATTATTGACAACTACCTTGGCGTCATAGCAAGTTGTCTGCATGGCACAGATCAGACGCCTTGTGGTCCTCGACGAGAAAACGTCACCTATGAATGGTAGTTCAATGACTTCTGTCTACTTGAGTACCGTGTGCTCTAGGTCCCCTGGTCGCACTTGACTATGCTTCTCGATAAACCTTCGGGGGTAGCCGTTTTCAATGAGCGTGTTTGTACTCAACTACAATTCGGCAACCAGACAATCAGCAGAGCAGATTCGTATGGAACGACTAGTCAGGGTTCTCACGAGCGTCCGCTTGCATCGCATTGGTGTGAAGCTAGTGAAATGCAGATACTGACCGCACCATGTTGATATCCTGTAGACAGACCCTTTAATCTACTCGTTTTCTCTGCGGATGTTAAGGATATCCAAGTGCGGTGGACAATTTGTTTCTCTACCTCACAGGAGACCCGCAAGTTAGCTCGCGCAGCATTTAGTTGCGTTACCAACTACTCCATCTGATGCTCCAATGAACAAAATGCCAAAATATCATCAACCTAGCGCTTGTATTATAGCAGTAGAGATATTTCTCCAGACATACCTCGTTCTGCCACTAACATAAGGAAGTCAGCAAGTACCAGGTCTAGTAACTTGCCCATCGCTACTCCATCAATTTGACAGTACGGTGTGTTTTTGAATTTAAACTTGAGATTATCCGTACCCAACGACAACGGCTCGCTTTTAGTTAAACTGGCATCGGTCGAGGCCACCGCGAACCTTCTGCTAGTTCACAAATGTTATCAACAGTTTGATGCAGTGGAACATTGGTAAACAGCGATTCCATATCAAACGAGCACATGACCTTGTCCGATGCATTAATTTTGTCGAGGTCATCGATAAGCTCGAACGATTCTTTGTGGCTATATGGATTGGCCCATTTCCTCAGCGGAGAAAGCAATTTCACCAGCCACCGACACAGTTTATCTTGAGGCGCGTTTAACATCAACAGAATCGGTCGGATTGGTACCCCGCTCTTATGTACTTTCGGTAGCCCGTACAGCTGGGTGGTAGTGGAGGCAGTCGGCTTCGGTCTGTCACAAATATCACTGTCAATCCCACAAAGCAGATGAAGCACTTCTGTGACGCGTTATGCGAGACTCTACCACAGTCACATCCTCTGCCCTCTCAAGTCGTTTGAATTTATTTATGTCTTCGTGTATGACTGTCATCTTGATGTATTCATCCTTACTCATGAGCACTACACCAGAACACCTATCTGGCTTTCTTACAGTTACATCCTCGGCACGTAGTCCGCGTAACGCCTGTAAATGCCGTCTTGTAAGCGCACACTTCTATTGGCACACGTTTAGCCTCATAAGCCATATTTGTCAGCTTATTTTTAAACCATATGAGTTTATCAACACTGGTTGGTTGTAGATCTTTCACCTGATCAAAAAAGTTTTCAAACTGCGATTCAATAAGATGCTCATTTAACCGTATAGGAGGAACTTTGTAGTTCATGCCAAGTGTAAAGCATTAAGTTTCAAATCCGACATATTCACCACATAGTTTCCCGGGTCACGAGTAATTGCCACTTCCTCTTGGTTGTTCACCGGCGACTTTTCTAGACGAGTCAATGTAATACTTTTCGTGCGATCAACAGTGGTTTTACAAAACCAAGATAATGTAATGCGACAACAGAGTGACAATTCTGGTTTGTCCCGTCTCAAGATGAGCGGATACAAACCGTCTAAGAATAGCTGCAGTGGGCTTCAATTTGTTTCTATGTAATATCTTTAAAATCGATCGAGAATAACGACGCTGGGGAATACATTCGGAGAACTCCGATATTTCTACACGTTTGCAAGTAATTTTACATCGCAAGTTGACAATACGGCGAAGTAGCTTGACTGATTCAGCGGGAATTCGTCTTTTCAGAAATTTGAAACAGTAAGTTCCCTACAGTAATTTGAAAAGCGCAGGAGGCGGATGAAGATTGGCAAATGCACACATATCGTATTGTCCCATCAGTGCCTTTAACAATAGTTCGCAGTTGTTGTTTGACCTTGGCTGGCAAGCAAAAGACTTCGAGCAAATCCAGAAGTGATTCACCCTCGTGCTTTTTGCTCTCACCGATCGGGCTCTCAACATGCGGCCATCGCTTCCACCTTCGTGTTGGGTGCAACTCAAATGTCCTAAACAGTGAATGCCTTGAATTTGGTATGGCTGAAGCTGCGTTTAATTTCACTCTTAACGACCGAGTTGCCTCAGCTTTTAGTCGGCACTGTCGCGCCATCAGGATCACCGTTACACTCGCTCTGCGTCACTTAGTTTTCGTGTATTCACTGTTAACTAGTCAGTGACACACCAAGCTCTTCCAATGTCCATGGTGTATGGACAGTGTGATTGGGAGTAGCGGGCCTTTTTGGAGTCCACCATCCCTTGGGGCTCAGGAAGGTACGGTCACACGCCAGCCTCATCACAATGTTGTGTCCCAACGCATTCCTCTCGTAAGAGCTCAAAACTCAGATCAGTTACCACCAAAGATGCTTCTGTGTAGACAGCTATGCTCACCTTTTCTTCGGGTCATCATCCCTCCTCCTTTCGACTTTTTCATGATTCATATGTCTATGACTACCCAATCCTCATCATCTTTTCCATTCACCTTCCATTCTTTTCATATCTTCGATGCCTTATTCGCCTTCCCTTTCCATAGCTACGCTATGCAGCTTCAGGAGCTCACTGTATTGAACAGTCCACCTCGGCCCATTCACTTACATCGTTCACTCTCCCCGTCGAGTGTTCTGACTCCTCCCTTCGCCATTGAACTGGATGGCCCATCTCCAGCACACTGGTCACCTCTTAGGCGTCTGCGCGCTCCTTGTAACGGTTCATCTGCTCCACTGCTTCCTCATCCGAACTCGCCTTTGACGCAGACCATCCTTCACTGCGCACGGTCCGAGGTGTGGCATTCGCACGTGTTCCTCACTGACAGCTGTCAAAGTTGTTCCATCGCTTTGGACCCCATCGTGATTGACGACACTGTGGATGATCAGGAAGACGGAGATAGTACCACCGAAGGTACCGTTTTCTTTACGGCCTATCGCACACTTGTATTATGATGTTGTGGACTGGCTTTTGTGCTCAACTGTGCCGCTCTATATCTGTTATTGTCAGTTGCTAATCGCCCTCCTCTAAGTAGCGAGGGTGTATGCGAACCGAATTTGTGCTTCTTTGCAGCCCTTTTCATCTGGGTTTTGCAACCCGTTTACACTTTTTGAATGCATATCTTTTGTCAGTTGCTAATGCGTTTTAATACACTTGCTTTTTTGACTATAGAATAATAACGGAAGATATCTTGTCTACTCAAGTGGTGCAACGGCTTGCCGTAATCGTGGCATAAAAGCTTGAGCACAGCGATTTCGAATATCCGTGATG